CCTCCAGAGATGGCTTTTTGCTCTTTCAGGTTCCGTGCAGCCGGCGTGACATTCGGGTCGATGTGGATCGTCAGTGTCGTGGTTGTGCCCTTGCTTCCCTGTCTGGTGGTGATATTCTCCTTGCCCACCTCCATCGGTCCTGTCAAGACACAAGACACAAACAGACACACACACCACGTGAGCTGATCGACAGAGATTCAATCTTCACGCCTTTTTCCCACCTCGTGCCCACGGAGGAGTGCCTTGCATGCTGTTGCCTCCCCCATTTCCCCCGCCCCCTCCCCGTCCCCCGCCGCCCCCGCCTCCGTTGTCGCCCCCTGACCCGCCACTGACAACACGGAAGCCGTTCGTCATGTTGATGCCGCCATACGTGATACGGCCAGATGTGGACCGCACTGCCGCCGGCACCAACTCGTTCTTTGTGTTGATGGACGGCTCGGGATTCTCACTGTACGGGAGGATGCCACACCCACTTGCCAGGCGATCGAGCTTGTTGGTCAGGTCCTCGATTTCCTTCGCTCGCAGATTGGCGGTCAACACTTTGGCGAAAATCTCTGTCTCCTCACGTCCGTCCAGCCAGGACCTCACCCGGGCCTTCGACTCGCTGCCTTGGTCAGAGAGCAGACCTTGCTTGGCGAAGCCGGCCACGATGTCCTCGACTTGCTCGTTTTCCTTGTCCTTGAGCTGCGCCCTCCTCGTATCCTTGGCGTCAGACAGGTTGCCGCACTGATGCCGGAGGATCCCTTGTTCTGCCAGCGCCTCGTCTAGCATGGCGTCGACGTTCCTCTCCGTCGCAAACGGCCATGACAGCGACAGATCAGGGACAGACGGCCGCGTGCGAATGACGATCTTGACGCTCCCACGGAGGCTGTTGAGCATCTTCAAGATCGCCAGCTCTTGATGCGCACTTGCGATGAGTTCGTTGCTAAGCTCGATCAGCCGAGCTTGTTCGGGGGGGGTGATGATCTCCCGGGCGACGAGCGTCTGGAAGCAGCGCTCTGTGTATGCCTTGTCCTCGAAGGCAGCGGGCTCGGCGATCATCTGGTGGACGAGACGGCGATGGACGGACCGAGCGGCCTGGCTGTCCCTGAGGTGAAGAAGCGATCTCTTCTTCTCCTTCATCCCCGTCGCGACTGAATGCATGACCTACATGTGTTCGACAACACATGAGTGCGCACAGGTATGCCATATCTTTTGTTGCACTCATGCATACCCGCGAAAGTGCGACAAGCTTCGCGACCTCCTCCGTGGTCTTGAAGATGGGCACGCGACCAGCGATGTGGGGCCACAGCATGGTGAAGCGGCAAGCAAACTCCTGGGACACACACACGCACTTGTGCGTCTTCTTCTGGCCATGTATGTATCGGCGTACCTCTTCGGGTGAGTCGGGGTCTTGCTCGTCATCGTCGACCAAAATGCCGTTCTCTTTCATCTTCATCCGGCTGGACTTGACGCACATGGGCGGCTCGCCCACTACACGGATGTCCAGCGCTCCCTCTTTCTCGTCGATCGTCACCGGCACATCACCTGGCTCTAGCCAGAAGCGATGCACCACACCAACGACGCCGGGCCTCATTTGTCCGACTGCGTCAAGCAGGCAGTCACGGACGTCGCTGTCCAGGGCGGCAAGGAACGCCGGAAGGGCGTGTGTGTTGGTCGGCTTCAGCTCGAAAGGCGCCACGGACGACACGTCGACGCCAGTTGTGAGCATCTTGAGGATGTAGTCCACTTGGAGCAGTCTGTCGAGGATGGCCCGGCCGGCCTCACTGGTGTCGAGCGAGTTGGGCGCGTAGAGGAGCTGCTGAAAGGGGTGCTTCAGCATGGTGAGTGGGAGGCCGTCTGCATGGTTAGTTGGGAGATCGTCGGGTGGGTCGAGGGAAAAGATGACGCCACGACCAAAGTTACCCAGACCGAAGGACACCTCTGCTTGGGTGAGCATGGCATCCGCTGGCGAGCGACACCTGGAGACACACGGAACACACACAGAATGCAGTGGCGTCACCTCACCCGCCTGCTGTGTCCTCTACCGGCCTACCGGCTATAGTTCATGCGCACCACACCATCCTCGTACTTGAGGCCTAAGGCCTTGGCAACCCTGTTGCTGTGGGACAACTTCAGAGGTCCCTCGATCGACTTCATGAATCCCGCACCGTCGCGGCCGAGTAGCGTCCCGGTGAAGACGGTCTGCACGGCTTCGAGCGTGTCTCCCTTGTCGGTCAGCAGTGCCTCCATAAGCTCGAAGCGCACAGCACTGAAGGTGACCCCGTCGCCGCTGGTGGCGCGGACCCAGCCGTGTAGCAGCCCGGTGTACATGGTGTACAACACACGGACGCGGGCACACACCAAGACCGGCCCTGGCGACGAGTGGTACCTTCTGCACAATGCACAAGGACAGGAAGAATTGATTCTGTTGTCTTCTTGTCGTCTTCCCGTCACCCCACCTGAGAAGTCGATCGGCAGTCTTGGAAGCCAAGACGGCGGACAGCAGAGTGTCGCATGCGAACGGCATGCTACGCGGAACAGGCGACGCGAGCAGCCACGAAGAGGACTCCAGCACCCCCTTCATGGCCACTCGGGCCATTTCGTCGACCACCACCACCGGGGTGGCACCACCGAACACGAAGGCTCTTTGTGGGTCGGTAGTCAGCTGAATGAGGGGCGTCTGCTCGCAGATGTGGGTGGCTTCGTAGAGCAGGCCGATGGCTGTGAGGGCGAGGCGCTGAGACGTCCGGGGGGAGCAGACCTCCTTGAAGGCAATGGGGAGAATCGCCCACACGACCTCGGTCACAAGGGCGTTGAGTGCCAGGATCTCCTTGGCTCGCTGTTGGATGGGGGCCGCTAGCTGCACGCTGCTGCTGCTGCTGCTGCTGCTGGGGGCAGGGGTGTGTGCGACAGAGACGAGTCGCATCTGTCGTATGAGCCTTTCGGCCGCAAGCAGGCCGCACTGGATGGTCGCATCTAGTGTTGGGGCAGCTTCCATGAGGTCGATGTAGCGCAGCGCTGCCTCGATGTGCTGTCAAGGTCAGGCATGACACACACATACACACGCACACACACATACACACAGTGAGGTGACTTCCTCACGTATCGTCGCCGTTTATCCTTACCATGCTGCGGTCAAACTCATTCACGATCCCACGCTCGCACCTCCACAGCACCCGTGTGTCCAGACCTTGGAAGGATGGCCGCTCGGGGACGCCAGTCGGCTCGCTCACGCGGAATCGGAGCACAGTACACGCCTCCCAATGCGCCTCGCCGCCCTGCAGTAGCAGGAGATCGTGCTTCATCGCGAGTGCGTGCTGCAGATGCACCACTGGGTCGGACAGGATCTTGGTGGCGACGCAGCAGACGTACTCGATGCCGTCTTCGACTGTGCGGACGAGCTGCAGGGTGTCCTGGTCGCTCTCGAGGACCTGGAGGAGCTCGCCGATCCTGGTGTGGCCAACGCAGACGACAGCCGTGTAGGCCTCGAGGACACCGAGGTAGAACTTGACGAGCAGGTTGGAATCGATGAAATGGGCCTGAATGGCGTCGTTGATCTTTTGCAATGAGGACACCGGCGTGGCTGCAACTCAGACACAAGCACGGCAGTTGAACAGATCTGACCAATGCACAAGCCCTCCCCGTTGCCCTGCCCCTGACTTACATGTTAGCAGGTCACAGAAATGGTCGCTCTTGCCGGTAGTCATGGCGCTGGAGAAGTCGGCGACCCTCTGCTGGACAGCATTGGGGTCCATTGCAGGTCCAACCGAGTCTTCCCATTCCAGGTTCGGAGGGAAGAACAATTCGCAGCTGTGTTGAGGGAGTCTCAGAGGAACCCCAGACGCCGCGAAGCATTCGAGGAGGTAGTCAACGCGGTTGTCCACGAGCTCCTGTAAGACGTCGGCGACCTCCTGGATGGTCTTGCGCCAATCGTAGGCGTGCAGACCGCTGAGGCGCGACCGCTGGATGACCTCGGAGATCTCGTGAAACATGTTACGGAACGCATCGGATGCACGTGGGCCCTCAGGCAAGCACTCCGAAGCGGACACGCGGAAATCTGACAGGAGACAGCAACAGCAGTGACAGTGACAGCAACAGCATAGTCCCACTTTACCCACGTACCTGTCCCATCGTCATCGTCGTCGTCGTCGCTTCTCTTGCCGTTCGGGTCGTCGCCGTCCAGCCTGGGCTTGAACAGCAAGTCCCTGAAACGATTGATCATCTTCATGATCTCCGCGTCCCCTCCTTTGTCGGGGTGATGGCGGAGCGACGCCTCTGCATACGCATCACAACACAAAGAAACCACGAGTGCACTCGTTGCTCATGTGAGGGACAGAGATCAAGATCTGTCTCACCCCTCAGCCGCCTCTTGATCTCGGCCTCTGTAGCCGTGCGCGGGAGGTCCAGAAACTTGAAGAGATTCGCCATCTCGATGTGTGAAAGATGCGCTGTCACAAAATGTGCACAGAACAGACGAGCGACAGCGAGCTTGCGAGAAGCCGTTGACAGGACGAGCCATTGTGAGCCGGAAAGGCCTTTTCGTCAGGCCTTCTCGGAAGGCCTTCTGAAGGGAGCGTCTCCCCGGACGATCGACGGAAAGCTCGCTGCTGAAAAGGAGGAGAAAGAAGAAGGGGCAAGAAGCGCAGCAGGTGAGCCACTGCACGTCGGACAAGTAGATCTGGCTCACACATTTGTTACAAATGACCGTCGCGAAAACTATGATCAGGCTACGATTGCGGCACACAGACATGCTTGTCTGCCTGAAAATCTGTGTGTGCAGTGCACTGGCGGCTGGCGGCAGCAAATCAAGCAGCAATGGCGTCGGTGCCACACTGCGTCCGCGGCAGGAGGGCTCCTCATTATCACAGCAGCAGCCGGCCAATCGCAGCAGTGTCGGTCGTCGGAGCGGCATATTTCCATCGAATACCGTGGGAAGGTGAATCGTGTGCCTGATCTGACTGAGTGGCGGAGTGAGGCGTGGTTGTCGTGACAGCATTGGTCGGGCGCTGAACTGCTGTTTAGTTCAGACACAGAGTAACTGTTGATGAGTGTGTTCTCTGATGTCATGCATTGATGTCATTGGCTGTCTTGTCAATCCGCGCACAGAACAGAGACACACTGACAGACCAAGTCAGCCACCTCCCCACAGCCGTTCAACAAAGTCAGTGAGTCAGTCATTACGCACACACGACAGACACTTGAGGGTAGGGTCAGGAAACACGCAGGTAACCAGCACGGGGACACTCCCGAACCCCACACGCGCCATGCAGCAAAAATTCAGCCTGGAAAGCTGTGTAAGAAAGTCAGTCAGAGATGCGATCAAAAAGTCACCATCACCACGATGAACTCCAACACACAGATGAACAGAGGGCACCAACATACAGATGAACAGACAGTCAAGAAAAATGGGAGGCGACGCCCGTTCACACGAATGTGTTGCGCCTCATGGTCATCCGTCCAGGATGCCGATCAAACGCAGCTGCACATACCCCCCATGTGGGTCGATGATATGCCTGACCTCCCCGTCCCGCATTGAGAGCAACGCCTCGTCGAACCAGTCACGCACAGCAGACAGACGAATGACCGCTCCATTGAGCTCGTCTGCTTCGTCGCCGCCATCAAACTGAGCGGATTCGTCCTCGACGATCGCGAAGTCGTACTTCACTCGCTGGTCGAGGGTCGGCACCCTTCCGGTCCCCTCACGTGTGATGCGGTAACGCACACCCATCGGGGAGACACTGAAGCCGTCGCTGTGAAGAAATACAGAGAGAGACAATGGCGCACACACACACAAAAATCTCTCTCTCTCCCCCTCTCTCTCTGACAGACGTTGATGTGCTCTTCACCTGGTTTGCTGCGGTCTATGTGCTCCGATGGCGGGGCTACTGCTATTGGTGGCCTGCGGTGATGCAGCGGTGCCGGCAGACGTCTGGTGTGTGTCGTGTCCTCCATTGCTGACCCATCGGACATAGAAAATGACACACACATAGAAAATGGTACAAGTGTGTGCGCTTACTTGTCGTCGTACTCGATGCTAATCTCAAGCAAGTCGTCCCCATCATCCGCATCACTCTCCGCCTCGTCGTCCCCGTCGACACTGCAAAGGCGACACAGACGCACGACAACTGGCAGGCCCGGCTATCTAGTGCTGCTCTCTACTTACCCTCACCTGGTCTGCTGTGTTTCCTCATCTTCATTTCTGACACATGCCACAACCAAACAGATGAATGCACACCAACGCCACGCCCACACGTGCGTGTGTGACCTCACTCGGGCCAGCACTCGGGGATAATGCAGATCAGCCGCAGCTGCACATATTGCTGATCGGAAGCGTCGGTGTGCACTATTATTCTCCTGACTTCGCCCTCCTTCATCGACAGCAATGCCTCGTACCACCACCCATCGCGCTCCCGAGGAGAGACACGATGAATTAGTCCGGGGATATCGTATGCCTTGTTGGTGGTGTCGAACCCATCATTCCACACGGTGATGTCGTACAGGACCTGCTGGCCGACCGTGGGCAGTCTCCCAGTGCCCTCAGACACCACCTCATGGCTCCTGACCGATGGCGTCGTGCCGGTTCGACATTCGGAAGGGGCTGCCGCACTACAACCCCCACTGACGAGGTAGCGGACCGCGACTGTGTCTCCCTGACCAGTGGACAATCTTACGGACACACACACGCACACACACACAGAGAGAGAGAGAGAGAGAGCAGGAGCTAATGATGGTCTCTCCCCCCTCTCACTCACGCGTTTGCATGCACTTCGCCATTGATCTCCTGCGACAGGCGCACGGCCATGAGATAGTCGGCCTCCTCCTGGCGCTGTCGATCGGTGAGTGGGGCCGGTTGGCCGCTGGCTGGGTGTGTCGTATTGTTGTTGGCCGTTGTGGTTGTGTCGCCATTGGCGGCCAGGGCCTCCCGCATCTGCTGCACAACGTCGCTCAGGCCGTAGTTGATCTGCACGTCAGCCTCCACAGTCGCGCGCCTGATTGAAGGAGACCCCGACACGTGCACACACATGAAAGGAGAAAGCCATGATGAGTGGGTTGGTGGCGTACCTGCATGCGGGGCATTCGATTGTGTGATGACGGCTGTTGTCAAGAAGCCCTCGAACACACTGCAATAATAACGCATGTCGCACGGCGCTTGAATGAACGCAGTCATTTGTGCCTACCCCTGCGCAAAACGAGTGACCTGATGGATCACACACACACACACACACAACAGGTCTCCCTCTCTCTCCATGTGTGTGTGTGTGTGTGTGTTTGTGTTTGCGTTTCTTCCTTACCGCATCGGAGCACTGGAGGCTGTTTGTTGTTGACAGCATCATGATGGTACTCCTCCGAGCACACACTGCACTTGGGAAGAAGCATATCTGCAGCAGGGAGGCATAACTCATGTGCGTCCATCAATCGACGCAACATAGAAAGGTGAGATGTGATCTGCCCTCACGAGGAGCAAGTTCCCGGCGTTGACGTGGCTATGAAGGCGCCTTCTGGATCGTCGCTTGTGGGAGATGAGAGATGCGCGTGCTCCGAGGCACGTGCCGCACGTCAAGAGATTGGACAAGCAACAGCGAGCTCGCGAGAAGCCGTTGACAGGACGAGCCATTGTGAGCCGAAAAGGCCTTCTCGTCAGGCCTTCTCGGAAAGCCTTCTGAAGGGAGCGTCTCCCCGGACGATCGACGGAAAGCTCGCTGCGGAAAAGGAGGAGAAAGAAGGGGCAAGAAGCGCAGCAGGTGAGCCACTGCACGTCGGACAAGTAGATCTGGCTCAGATCACACCGATACAATCATGTTGACCATTTTCGTGTGTTATCTTTGTGTGTCCATCTGTGAATGTTCCATTAGCTTCTGTCAACGCGAGATATGGTCAGAAACTGTGAGGGAAGCGGCTTGACGGCGTCGGGCGGCTGCTCAGTCCAGATTTCCCGAACGCGCCTTGGTCAGTGAGGATTGCTCTCACACTGTGTGAGGTCACTGCAAGCGCTGGAGAGGGGCCGCTGTCACAAGGTTAGACCTCACCAATCTCACCTTGTGTGCTGTCTGGCCTGTCCCACCAATCTCAACTCTCTCTTCTCATTTGTCGGCCTCTTGTGTGGGTGCGTGTCTGTGTTGTGTACGGCGGCCATAGCTTTGTTGAAGCTCTGTCGTGTATCGGACCCCTTCCTTGATCGATCAACACCTGCAGGAAGAGACGATGAATGAATCAATCAATCAGTCAGTCGGGTCGGTCTGGACTGCACACCCTCCATGTGTCTGTCCATCATGCTTGCATGGGCCCACACGGAAAAACCACCGTGACCTCATGCCATGCACCAATCAATGACTGATAAAAGGCATCCAGCAGGTAAGAACATCCCTCTAAAATATGCAGAAGATCAATCACATCCATCAAGTGACAAACTCCCCTCCCACGCACAGACACACAGGCAGGAAAAAATCACTCTTCGCTGTTCGGCGGCGTACCGGCGTCGCCCGGACCGATGTCTTTCTTGTCTCCATTCGCCAGAAAACAGCGACCTCTCCCTCGGGCCGGCGCGCAAGCTATGCAGCAGGCGCAGCCACCTCCTCCCGCACAGGCTCCTTCTTCTTGGATGGGTCGGAGAGGATCGAATCCATGTGCCGCTGATCGATGGCAGAGACGAATCCACGACAGCCACGAACAAATAACACGTGTGTGTGTGGGTATGGTGTGATTGGGCTTACGCTGAGTCGCCTCTTGGCTGTCTCGTCGACCATCGGGTTGGACACCTCATTGGCAAAACCCTTGACCATCAAGTACCTGTGCACAGACAGAGGGTAAATTCTCGGGTGCGCGCGCGCGTGTGCGTGTGTGTGTGTGTGTGTCTGTCTGTGTGCAAGTGACCGTGCGACTTCGTCTGAGAGTCCCCTCGTGCGCAGATAGATGATCTGGTCCTGGGACAAATCAGACACCGTCGCACCTGCAGGCATCACATCACACAACACACGAAATCGACAGATGCGTGGATGTCTTGTTCTGACTGGCTGACCGTGTGCGGCTTTGATTTGTGGTGACATCATCTCCAGCACCGGGATGGACACAGCCTAGGGCCAGCCAGATAGACACACACACACACACACGCGCACACAGACGGACAAGCAGATGAGGAGCACGCCGACTCACATATTTCGGTCATACATTCACTCCCTGAGGGGCTGACCTTTGATCTTTCGTTCAGCAGGAGGGAGCGACACAGCTGCTTCGCGTCGGCACCGTTGCACATGTGCTCCAGGCGACCTCTCCCCTTCCACACAGCAGTCGCTGATCACACACACACAGACAGAGACAGAGACAGAGAGAGACAACAGAGAGGTAAAGACGATTTGTATGGCAACTGGTTCGTTCGTTCGTTGGGTGAGGGCATGTGTGTGCACGCTACCCGAGTCGGCAACGATGTTTCTGTGGAATGAGTCCGAGTAGGTGTCCTTGGCGTTGTGCCACACCGTCTGGTAGGTCTGCAGAAGCTGCTTCTGGCGAGCCAGCAGCAGACTCCTCAGGTCCGTACGAGACTCCTTCTCTGCAAAGCCACATACACACACACACACACTCACCCAGAGTGCGCCTCGTGTGCCGGTGGATAAACACGCAGTCATTGCTCACCGTTGGCCACAACTTGGACGTTGATGCGGGAGCTCTGGGCGCCCCATGACGCCGACCGATATGTGTAGTTGGCCTGCACACACACACCACACAAAGCAGCGGGGAGAGGATGTGCCTGGCCGTCGGTTGCTGCTGCCGGTTAGTGTTTCTCACTGACTGACCGCCTGTGCGTTGAGAACAGAGAGCTGTTCGAAGTGCCAGGCGTCCCTCCCGGCCTCCTGGATGTAGTCGTGGTTGAAGCGCGACTCGCGGCCCATGATGACCCGCGTCACGCTGTTGATGAAACCCTTACGCGCGAGACCCACATGCGACTGGGACAAACTGCACAGACATGAAGACACACACACACACACAGAGGGATGTACACATGTGTTGTCGTAAGTTGTGTGGTTATCGTACGTGACGTCGGCTTTGTCGCCGATGAGTACTTGCAGCCTGGGGCTGCTGATCGGCAGGGCGGAGTCGCCCACGGAGGTCGACACTACCAACACCTGAAGAAGAAAGGATAGGCAGCAATGAAGTGCAGAAATGGATCTGATCTTCCTTTGTCCCTCCTGACTTACTTGTATTGGTTTGTCTATGGTGGTGCCCTCAGGCACGTGCACACACGCCACATCACGTAAGTGAGCCTGTGTGCCAGAGAACGACAACACACAGCCACACATGCGCCCGAATGCCATCGAGAGCCCCTCTCTCCCCCTCTCTGCCGCCCTGCCTGGGCATCTCACCATGTTGAGTGCGCAGAGTTTGGCCATGCCGATGTCGAATTTGCCCATTTCGAATATCTGCTGCGGCAGGATGTCGGCGTTTTTCCACAGCTTGCCCTTGTACTTGACGTAGGCGCCCTTCTTGAACTGCTGCTGGGAGTACTCCGGGTACCAGTACAGCTCTGACAGGAACCGCTCACGGAGCGCACCCTGCCGAGCCGACACACACGCAGAGGGAGGGGGACAGCGCGTGAATCAAGTATTTGTGTGTGGTGTGGGTGCGGTGTGCTGACGACGGCCATGTGTAGAGACAGACGTACCTCCATGTTGTGTATGCTGCCGACGAAGGTGCCATTCGGCAGCCCGTCGAGGCGGCTCAGCCGCCTGTCCACCAAACCGTCCTTGATCACCTGCACACACACGTCCATCCATCCATGAGACGCCACCCGAGATGCAGACTTGACTCACCAGCAGGGCAGCCGTGTCGTTCATGACGTACTCTGAGATGTCCTCTGTCGACGATAGATCGCCATAAGCCACGTCAAAATCGGTCTTGTAAATGGCTGGAGAACACACACGCGAGCACACCAACCGCACCATGAGCACAGAGGGAGGCGGATCTGTTTGATGTGTTGTCTTTGTAGGTAGCTCACTTTCGAGGTCCTTCTGGAAGCGCCACGGCTCCCTCTTCCTCTCGGGCACATACAGCTCCTTCATCACAGCCGTGCCGTTCTCATGCAGCTTCTCAAAATCCTACACAGAGGACACGCACGAACGAGTGGGCCTCTGTTTCTCTCCGTCTCTCTCTCTGTCTCTCTCTGGGTCTGTGTAGAAGCACCTCGTTGGCCGGGAGTGGCTGCAGCTCGAGCATCTTGTCCCACCACATGAGCCTTTGGATGTCGGCCTTGTTCATGCTGATGTTGCGGTAGCCGAACCCGAAGCCCACCTCCTTCATCAGCCCGCGATACTGAGGCGGCACGCTCTCGTCCACAGGCGCCTCGTCAACCTTCACCACACCCCTGCACACACCCATCCATCCAGGACAACAGCCATACCCGCACCAACGAGTGTGTGCGCTAAATTGCTGACTGACCCGTCGAGTTGCTCGACGGCTTTCTCCAGGTCTTTGGAAGTGACCAAAGTGGGCTGGAATATGTTGTGCCTGCCGCCCACCGGCTCGGCCGACCAGTCCTCCGGCAGCGAGTACTCGGGGTCCTCCAGCCGCTTGGGGTCGAACTGAGACCAGTCCTCAAAACGGAGCTTGCCCTCCTCCTTCCACCTGCAAACAAATGAGTGCGTCTAGCGGTTTGGCCGCGTGTGTGTGTGTGTGTGCGTGTGTTGTGTTGGTCACGCACCTGAGCCTCTCCCAGCTGTTGGGCGACTCGCTGTCGACGTATTCGGGGTCGTCTTCCTTTGCCCATCTGTCGGCGTAGTCCTCCCTCCTGTAGTTGGGGTCGACCATGTCGTTGATCAGCCCGGACACGCGCTCCTGCTCCAGCCGCTTCACCAGCTTGTACGACGACGACTCGGTGTCAACGCCGTCCTCCTCACCCTCCCCTCCCTCTTTGGCGGCTGGCGGCTGCTCCTTCTCTTTCGCCGCAGTGTCAGCCTGCACCGAACCAGACAGACACAAACACAGAGATTAACACGATCACCATCGCCCTTCTCATGCATCCTCATTATTGCTGTCTGTGCTCACCTCAGCAGTGGACATCGAGAACAGGCGCTGATGGTGCTGATTTCTCCGCCTCCGTGCCCGCAGCAGCAGATCTCGCCCTCCAGTGTGCCCCAGCGACCTCCAGCCGCCAGCCGTGCCGATGAAAGCTGGCCTGAGTGACGCTGGTGCCGACGAGCTGAGGTCGCTGATGCTCACTGCATGGCCAATCAGAGCTTCAAGCACGACCATCAGGGCAGCTGCAAAAATCATCGTGTGGCTCACAGCGGTCCTCTTCTTACACCAGCTGGCATATAACAACGGTAAGGGAAATGGATATTGACAAAAAGATCAAAGCTTTCCAGCGATTCAAGCTCGCAGAAGAGCTTAGCTCGCAGACGGATCGCTGCATCGAAAGATTCGAGCATCACGGGAAGCACATCGGCCGACAAGCAGAGCGCTTGACGTCGTTCTCCCATCAGCACTCATCTCTTTCACCTGGTGAAGGTTTCGGTGAGATCTGTGGGTCAATTTCATCATCATGTTGGTCCCGCTTCGGGTAGTGGGCGCCATAGGTAAGGCCACACACACATCGACGGGCACTTTATGCATCTTTCTTGCCCCCTGCTATCGATGCGTTGCATTCAGGAAGCGCCGCTATTTCGTTTGTCGGCATGGTGAGTGAATGAATCGCACACACACCACAACAGCAGGAGCAGCCACACGCTCACGCCGCCTCCCTCTGTGTGTGTGTGTGTGTCTGTCTGTCAGATGGTTCTGTTCACGTTTTCAAGGCACGCGCGTCTGTTCGATGGTCTGCACAACCTCGCTCTCAGCCTCTTTTTCATCGTCTCGGGCATCGTGGGCCTCTCAGCCGAGCTCTACCCCAACGCCTTCGTCCAGCAGCACTTGGGCTTCACGAGCAAGCTGACGGGCAGGGGCTGTTTCTACGTCTTCCTCGGCTTCCTGGTGTGTGGGGGGTACGGCGTGCGCTACAGCAAGTTCATGAAGACGGTCAGTGCGGTCATCGGCATGTACAACGTGTGTGTGGGGGCGATGGACATCTGTGTGGGGGTGGGAGGTGGGGGAAGTGTCAACAATCCCGGGCTTGATGTGCCGCTGCGAGTGGACACTGAGACCGGACTGAGGCCGAGCGGGCCGAGTGCGGCGGGGAGGGTGGAGCCGACGGCCATCAACGCGACGCTGTGATTGAGTCATTTGTGCGGATGGGGGGAGGGGGGGAGGGGGAGGGGGAGGGGAAGGGATGGTGTGTGTGGTGTGTTGCCTACGTACTCACTCTATTTGTCGTCGTCCTGCTGACTGACTTACTGACTTACTGATCTGTGGCACTCACTGGCGTGGATGGTTGATGGATGCGGTCGGTATGTATTGAAGGCTAGTGCTGCTGGCGGGGTGCGGTGCTGCTGGCTGTTTATCCATCCGGCTGTCTGTCTGTCTGTTCTATCTACTCGTTGACTTGCTGCGGTACGTCTGTTCACACTTGGGGAGCTGGCGATATATTGAGACTGGTCGACTTTTAGCCTTACTGAAGGTGAATTTCCTGACCGACGATGTGCCGAAATGGCCGCACACACAGCACCCCGTGACTACTGAACAGCACCGTCAACCGACCGGATGTGTCAGGAACAACAAATACAGAGCACTCAGCACACACATGACACGCTCAGCCCACGCGCCACAGAGCCAGCTTCCTATCATAGAAGCTGCACGACGCACAATGGTGGGCGCCTGGGGCAGCCGACGGCACGCTGGCAATCCCGTAGGCCATCGACCCGTGGCCAGTGTACTCGTGCAGCAGCTCATACTCACCTGCACACACACAACGACGGCCGCACGTGTGTTGTCGCCATTTTCTCTCGGCCTACCGGTGGCGGTGGGTTGTGTTTGCCATATCTGGCAGCCTCCGTGGCAGGCGGCCACCATCAACCGGTCGACGGAGGGCCCCTGGCCTGGAGAGCTCCTGCACAGCACACACAACGATGGATGGATGGACAGCGCTGAGCCATTGGTTTTGCCTGCCACCGGTCACCTCGCTCACCGTCTTAGTGTGCTGTCCCATTTGAGACGCCACACTCCGCCACTCGACTGCAGAACAGACGAACGAACCGACACATGCACTCGCCAATCTGTCCTGTTCTCTCTTGTCTGACCTTGAAGGAGCTGGTGGGGCTTCCAATGCTCCGAAGATCCCACACACGGACATACTCGTCGTAACTGAACACACACACACACACACAGAGAGAGAGAGAGAGAGCGAGATGGACAAATCGATGCATTTGGTCCAGGTGGGCATCGAGCTGATGACCATCCGGAGAGCAGCGTGTGCTCATCGGTGTCGTGGAATGCGATTGCCGTGACGCCCATCGGATGCTCCCGCCTGTTGTGCGCCACGGGGGCGTCGAAGCCGACACGAGCGTCCCATATCTTCATAGCACAGTCGTCTGCCCCAGTGGCGATGAGGCGGCACGCGCCATGCAGCTGGTCCGGTGCTGCAGGTGTGGGCTGCAGTGCGATGGTCCATGTTTCCAGGTCGTGGGCACACCTGCCCTGACGTTAACCACACACACACAAAGACAGATAGATGGGACAGAGGGGATCATGGTTGGAGTGGGTGTGTGTACCATGTGACGACCTTCCTCGGCTGCGTGAGGTCCTCCGACTGCACCAGACACGCCGTCCCATCAGACACACAATACCCAAACACACTGCAGACATCCACACACACAGAGCAACGTGCAGCCAAGCGCTCATCTGTAGTGTGCCCTCTCTTGCTGACCAACCAAGGCGAGTCGTCCAGCAGCGCCACAGCGGTGCATATGGGCCCATCGCCACCGGGCGCACCACATGTGCCCTCGGCCGTCAGCTCGGGGCGTGCCGTGGGTGAGGCTACGGTGAGGGGGCGGGGCGGTGGGAGAGGGCCGTCGGGAGGGATGGACGACAGAGTGACCGCCGAGCTGACACTCAGACCTCCCTCTTCGCCCCACTCCTGTCAACCGAGGGACCATCGAATGAGCAATGTGTTGGCTGTCTTGGTTTTCTGCTTCTGCCTCTCTGTCTGTCTGTCTGTCTGTCTGGTCGTGGCTACCAGTGTGACTCGAATGAGGTGGACTGCGGCATCGGCTCCTGCGGCGACGAGCGTGACTGAGCCCTCAGAGGATAACACACAGCGGACATCCAGCACACCACAGGACAAGTCGACGAAGGGCAGCGCACACAGACGACATCCATCCGACCTGCACACACACACACACACTCAGCACTCAGTAGGGACTCGATTGTGGCTGTCCGCTCACCTGTGGTGGGCATTGACATACAGCAGGTGCATGCCGCCCATCCGGCGGCCGGGCGATGAGTCCTCAGGCTGCTTGACCAGCTCGTAGCCGCCGCACGCCAGCAGCGTCAGATCTCCGTCGTGGTCTCGGCGGCGACGATGGACACTGCAGCTGTCCAGACAGTCGGCGTTGTACAGCGTCTGAAACTTCATCTCTGTGAAGTTCTCGCTCTCTTCCAAAGCGATCGATCGCCCGTTGGGAAAGGTTGCCGTCCCGTGTTGGTACGGACTCATTCATGCGTACACAGACACACACGTGTGTGTTGTGGTGTGTGTGTGTATGCGGAGTCCCGGTGAGAATCCATCCATGAGTCAAAGTGAACTCGAGCTCTGACATGCCAACTGAGTGTCACTCATTGCAAACCACATGCATCAAGAACCGAGAGGAACGACTGGCCAAGAGACTGCTCAGCGAAGCAGTTAAGTAAGGGCAGTTATAGATACACACACTGATGTGTTTCAACAATATCGTCGGCTGGCTGGGTGCCGACACAAAATGACCATCCCGACCGACTGGCCGTAGAACAGCGATGGTGACACTACACAAATGGACCGGTGGCCATGGATGGGTGCAGGCAGTGAGTCAGTCAAGTCAGTCAAGTCAGTCAGTCAGTCAGTCAAGAGGACCAGGATGCCTTCCGCGACTGGTTCGGACCCCGGCCGGCAGCACAGCAGGATCTCAGACAAACGGCTCCCTGATGACGACGCCAAGCAGGTGGGCGGCGCGAGTGTGAGCATCTATCCTGGCACTGAGTGAGTGAGTGAGTGCATCTCATCTCATCAGGTGGGTAGACAGACGTAGTATGTGCGTGCGGTCTACCCACGAGTCTGTCTACCGTGCACAAGTCAAGTCAAGTAGTCAGGCAGGCAGGTTGGTGCATCCATCCGTGTGGGCGCATTTGTGGCCGACGCCCACCGACCAGGTCAGAATATGGTGACGACACGCTTGAAGTCACCGACCACCAAAAATGTCACCGTGCACACACACATCCATCCATCAGCCATGGAGCATGTCAACATCATCAAGTCAGTCACCGTCGGGGAAGATCCGCAGAGAGAGAGTGGTCCACACACACACTCATTCGCTCACCCAGACAATACGCTGGCCGGCCAACGCACGAAACAGCGCCACGCCACAGACAGCGCATGTTTGTCACTCATCCAGCCATCTCTATGAGCCAGACAGAGAGACCACTGACCGCCGTGTACATACATCCATCCATCCATGACGAGAATCCTGGCTGTGTTAGGCGTGAGTGTGGCGCACTTCAACACACACGCTTGGGTGCCGCGGCAGCTTAGCTGCCTCCTATCTAGCTATCAGAGCACCGCCCAGCCCGTCCATCCATGCCCACAAACAAACGCCCAGCACCGCCCAGTGTATGGTTCTGCGAACGACGAGAGAAACAAACAGAATAGGCGGATGGCAACAGCGACAGCGCCCGCCAGCCGACACATTCCCGTGATCTTGCAGTGTGGCCAGACGAGGTGTCGGGGTATAAGGTCCCGTCCCCAGCAAGCCCCTGTGCGCAGCGACAGGCAGTGAGAAACAGAGACAATACAGGCACACGATCGACGAACGATAAACAACAAAAGCGACACGCGACTGAAAAACACAAGTGGTGTTGGTGTGGCTGGCTGGCTGGCACATCCCCATGTTCACGCAGCGACCAGACCCACTCGGGGTGTCGGGATATAAGGTCCCTCCCGCCCCACGTGGTGCCGCCACACACGCGCCGGCAGCCAGCCCGTCAGTCCCATGAGTTCCCCAGCGACAGAAAAAAAGACCGGCAACACACACACGACATAATGCAACGACCAAGGCGGGTGACAGCAAGGCAGAGCAATTAGTCAGAGCACTCTGGCAGGCAATGAATTAGCGAATCAACGCAGCAAAAGGGCAACGGGGACAGGCAGTAAGGTAAGAAGGAAGGCCACCAACTCACACACCCACATCGGCTCCATCGACTAAGGTGGTTCACTTGAACACCAGCTGCAGCCGCTCACTCCGATTAGTCATGGCCCCGCTGTTAACACGGTCGTCTATCGTTGTCTGGCCGAGGGGGCAGGTGGTGGCGCGGGAGGGCGGCAGCCTTCTGGCGATACTGCACACACCACAATACACACACACACACACACACATGGATGGATGAAGACACGTGAGGTGCGTGTGGCGTGAGTCGCGTTGCGCACATATGTACCGGTCGGCGATGTGGCCGACGTACACGGTGGTGTACTTGAGGCGGTGCTCGACTTGGCCGCCCCGCCGCACGCGCGTGACGTAGGCCTCTATCACCGGCGGGCGGTAGCTCACCAACGGGTGGCCGCCGCGGTAAACCTCCCTGGTGGCGTCCCAGGCCCCCAGCTCGGCCTGCATACACACATCGATGACAACGCACCACACAGAGACGACACATATGTCTGTCTGTCTGTCTGGTTGACGGATGGAATGATGAAGGCGTCGTGTTGCGACTCACCAGCGCCTTAAAGGGGGTGTTGCGGGGCAGCTTGAAGGCCCAAGAGCTGGTCACCGCCTCGGTATCCGCCATTACATCAAATACCGACTGAGCCACATACACACACACACATGAGTGCATCCATGTGTGTGGTGTGTGTAGTGGTGTATGTCCATCTTCCTCTCACACCCATCCGTACCATCTCGCCCTCGTAGCCCATGCGGGTGATATCGAACTCCTTCTGGCCCTTCACGAACCTGGCGCCGCCCCACGGCAAGTCGGCAAACACCTGCAGCCACACACGAAGGAAACAACACACGAATGCACTCAAGCACCACGTGTGTTTGTGTGGGGGGGCGTGCTATCTGCCTGCGTACGAAGTCACAGGTCTTCTCCTTTTTCTGCATGCGGGCGGTGACGGTATAGAAGGGCTCCTCAAAGACTACCGCCGGCTTCACCCCTGACACACACACGCACACACACACAGAGAGAGAGAGAGAGAGGAGCAGTGTGGCAGGCCGCTCATGGGTCCACTCAGCCATAGACTGGCGGATTCACCAACCGTAGATCTCGAAGTTGGCCTGTGCGTCGGCCGTGTGAGGCTTTTTTATCTCGCAGGCGCAGACATTCAGGCCGCTCAGACAGAACTGAATGGCGTTCCCGCCTGAGTTGAACGCATCAAGCACATAGACAGACAGACAGACAGACAGACAAGGACATGTCAACAAACCAGAGAGAGAGAGGGGTGGGGGGGGGGGGGG